GATTAGGTAGCCACCACACCTGGTTAGTGCACGTCACCATACGCCATTGTGTAGATCGTTACTAATAATATTGATCGCAAGATTGTCTGGTCCAGGCTCGATTATTCAGAGGCCGCGGTCAAAGAGTTTGATATTGCTTAGTGGGACCTTTAACAACAAGCAAAAGACAAATAACGCTACTTTGCTTTGGTTAGCGTACCAAGATCATGAACTGACCATAGTGGTCAATGCATAAGTCTTATCGAAGATAGGACCTTTATTGAGCAGACGCTGGAAGACATGGACCATAGAATTGGACCGTGTGTCCCGAGCTCCGTGAATCGACTGCCCCTGCATTCGATTCGCGACATGAGTACAAAGTGTGAAGCCCATTTCTGGTGTCCCCCCCCCCCCCCCCCCCCCCGAATATTACTAAAAGCAGCGTAATACCATACTCACTCACTCATGTGATGTTTTTAGGCCATTTTGAAGTCCTCAAGAACTTTTTGTCTTTCTGACGGAACAATAATTGTAGAATGACCAAAATAATTTGGCATTTTGTGAAGTGAAAATTTCAGTTATCTTAAACTTTGACTGATTTTACACATGCACTGTAACATACAGTTGTTCCAGGGATTAATACAAGATACAGTAACTACTGGGTTACCGTTAGATCTAATACATAGCTGCAACCTGATCAGACGCAATCATTTCAATATCAAAAGAATTACAAACAAAGTTAACAGTGGAATGACAGCAATGTACATAAAGGTGTGTGTAACCGAATCACGCATAGATGTCAGATCTTATCTACATTTGCATGAATAGGTCAGGAACTTTGAAGTTGACGAATGATAAAGTAGCGAATTTTTTCTTTATCATACTGTCACAACAACGTTTCGGTATAGATCCTTACACCGTAGTAAAACGAGTACAGTCTTACTTGAGAATGGTATAAGGATTTTTAACGAATGTCGCTGTTGCAATATAATAAAGAAGTTGTTATCCATAAATATTTTGTCTACTTTTTCAAAAACCATAATGTACACCGTACTGGAAACAACATGGAAGTGACTGGTCTTGTTTAAAGTTTCCGCTTCCCAGACCCACACAACATGTTAGTTAATCAATACTTTATTGGTATATACGTGCTACGCACACGTGTATCTAAATACCCACAGCCCAATACAATTGCCCCAAGGAAGGCAACGTGGTGACACGAAAGTATTTAGATTCACATTCAGTTTATTCAGAATTCAAGGCCATCCGACCAACAGTACATTCATATATCTAACATGTATAGATGTATCTTAATATCTCTTTTGATACAAAGAACCTTGTACCAAAATTTTGACAATTAAAGAAATTTTGTGAATTTAAATATGTACATAGGTTTGCTGCAGCCAATATGAAATTAGAATTAGCTGCAATGTCTTGCAAATTCCAAATTACGTTCTACTGCATAACATGTGCAATAAAATAAAACATGACTTTCATCTTCTATTAAGAAACAGGTTTTACAAAAACAACTTCAAGATCATATATTCCAAGGGGATTCATACATGATTTGAATTTTAACAAAGCCTTTTCTTATAACACACAACGCTAATATCTGTTAAATACAGTTCACATTCAGATATAGATATACAGAAAGAGTAGATTCAAGAGATTTTCGGTCACACATCGCGGCATCTTGTTCAGCAAGTCTACAATATGTTGCCGAAATAACACAACAAACATATTACAACTTCCTACTTCTTGCCACAACTAAATATAAACACAAACCTATTTGGAAAGAAGATTTTTAACATGAGTGGCCCAATTCGGACGGCTTCTATCAGATGTATTTTTAACATTATGTAACACTGGTAGGTATATGTATCATTGGACATAACATAGGTGGGTGAGATGAAATGGGGTTTAACGTCGCGTCCAAGATTATTACACTTATATAGCGACATGCATGCATGCATGTGTGTGTGTGTGTGTGTGTGTGTGTGTGTGTGTGTGTGTGTGTGTGTGTGTGTGTGTGTGTGTCTGATTGTTCTAGTCCGGACAGATGCCGATTTATAGTGCTAGCCCAATGAGATACCATGCAGCAGTTTAACATGAATACCCAACTCAGACAGAGTGTACTGACTCCGAGCCGACCAGTCCTTGTTTTAGCCCCTTAATGCCGAGCGCCAGACAGGGTAACAACAAGCACCATCTTTTAACTTTTTTTTGTATGACGCGGCCGGGGATCGATCCCGGACCTTCCCTTCACCCGGGCTGACGCTCTACCACTAGAGGTTGGTACACGTAGGTGATCTACATGAAACTATATAAAATGTGGAGGTGGGTAATGTCAAATATGTTTTCGCTGAGTATTGAGACATTCTGCGTACTTACACGGGGGAAATTTGCGAATTAAGTGGATGTTTGGTTAGAAATTGGAGAATTTGTATTTGAGTCGAAAAAGAAAATAGAAAATTGTTCTTGTATCAATTTTCCGCTTCCCACTTCATTGGAAAATATACGTGCTCCGTACACAAGCCCCTAAATACCCACATCCCAATACTGACGCCTCAATCAGGGCAATGTGTGTGGTGGCTTTGAAATATATAAAGTATGGAAGTGAATAATGACAAATGTGTTCGAGACATTCTGCGCGCTTACACGTGAGAAATTAATGAAATAAGTGAATAAATGGTTAAAAATAAAGAAAAGAATTTATTGATGTCAACTACTTTATTATGAGGAACACAACGTTGAGGAATATATACTTATTAACCCTGAAATACACATGTGATGTGCGATCTTCTTGGGTTGGTGGTGTTGGGAACTTGGGGTCTGCAGTAATAATATCCACAATATTCTTCAATGTGCACTTTAAGGGCGTTTGTGAAACCCTATGCGAAATCAGAATCGGTCTTCAGAAGATTATGTATGTGGGAATCAAGCGATGCATGTTATGCTATCTAAGGTAAACTATTGCACGATATATTTGCTATTCCCGTTCTTCATCCAGATTTCCTCTATTAACATTCACACTGGTTCTTCCTGTCCAAAAACCTTACTTTATGGGCGGCATATATGGTCGAAGTGCAAAGGTCCGGTCATTTCATTTTTAACAAAAAGGACTCGGATTTGGAACAATTCCTTTTAATGGCTGCAATGTCAGCCGTATTGAAAATTAGGTTCGAAACAAATTCAGATGACATTATTGGTGGGAAAAGGCATGTACAGCTTGGGATTCCTTGGAATGACTTGTATCTAAACGTTCGTCCACACATCCAGTGCCCTTGTCAGTGTAGTGTTGTTGATCTGCCCTGGTCTTTGTTTTCCCATATGTTATAAATTATGCCATAATTTAGATATGACTGCCTTAAGTATCTAGTAGGAACTTCAAAGACATGTTTCCTTCACGCATCTTCTTAAGTTGGTTCAACATTTGGCATGACTCTTAAACCTTTAGATTGGATTCGAATGCTCCATACAAAAAATAATTCCATACAAAAAGATCTATTACTGGGTCCAGCAAATGTACCACCAAATCCTGGTCTTAAAGATAAACCATAATCCTTAATACAATCAAGGAAGGGCTTCCTGTATTTTCACAGAAAGTATTTGAGGCAAGTGGCATTAGTACCAAAACCTCAAAAGATTAGCTTGACTTTCTCAGAAAAGAACCAACTTCAGTTCGGTCAAAACATTTGATTTTTCAACTTTGTTCACAGTTATCTCACACGGCAAACTTTAGGAAATAATTCATTCTTTGATCCATGGAGCGTTTGTTACAAAACATGAAGTGTATCTTCAGGTTCAGGTATATCGAGGATCTGATATCATTCAATTTCCTTCAAATAGCTTCCCTTCCACTGATTTACCCACCTGTAGCAAAGGATACAGCTCATATGTTTCCTATTTAGATCTATGCATAAACGTTCAGGGTGACAAAACACTCTCCACAAAACTGTATGACAAGAAGGATGATTTCAACTTTTCGCGTTATGTCAAGCAATATTCCTGCAGTCCCAGTGTTTATATTTCACTTTTGAGGTACAATCGAGTATGCTCTTTCTACTAGGATTACAAGGAGCGTCATACAACGCTTGCTAAAAAATTGTTTGATCAAAGTTACATAATAAAAGGCCTCAGTAAAACTTTTGAAAAGTTTTGAGGTAGACAAGTGGAGGACACTCGACGCATAGACGACAAAAATTATCTCGAAAAATGTTATTCCCTATTTTTACTTGTACCATATGTTCCAGGTTTTTTTCAGGGAAATGATTGACTTGCCTTTGCATGTTTTTGTGACTGATGCCACCGCTTGGGCAGTTTACCCTCACCTTCTCGTGATCACGTGGTATATTCAATATTTGATAGTGATTCATGGTATCATGATATAGGCGAAATCTTAAATCGATTCTGCAGAGATTTCTTATGGATATGGAAAGGGTTTTGTCGCGTTTATATATACCATTATTTCTTTAAAATGTTAAAACTGCGTAAAAAATAAGCTATTGTTTGCGTCATTGGTAACAAACAGTACTGAGACGCGAAAACGCTCTAAATAGAACCCCAAATTCCGTGAATCTAGGATTCAAACCCACGACCCAGGAGGTCAAAGGGATGGGACCCCTGATAACCTTCTCAGTCAGCCATACGTACATCAATCAATCAACATGTCATTATGGTGACATTTCTAAAATGTACATTTGATATTTCTCAGTAATATCAAGAATTTGCCCCAAATACAAAACGCCAACGTCAGAGTATAATCAGTGTCGATTATCTGCCGAAACAGATTCTTGACCAATGTCCAGTAAAAAAGGAAGTTTTTGTTAACTTACGCTGTATAGAAGTACGCCCGCTATACTAAGGTGGCCTGTAAACAATCGAGTCAGTCCAGAGATTGTAGACCAGACAATTTAGCGACACGATAGTGCGTTTACTGATGTTATTGAAACTAAAAATGATAAATGTACAAGTGCAGAGATCCTTCTGCTGACAAAGAAAGAAACACAAAAGATATATTATTATGAAACTCAGGGATTTAATATCTACGCAGTTCAAGTAAAACATACGTCAACGATGGGCGATGGGTGTAACATAATTTGAGAATCAACAATGAGGAATTACACATCATCTATTCTGAGTGAATGATTGCTTGACGCTCATGGCGAGTTACAGCATGGACAGGTAATCTGTAATCCCGAATTACTCAGTATCAGTTTAAAAAAGAAAATGAAGGTAAATCGTATCAAATGTCAAGGTTACTGAGAAAATCTTAACTGAAGCCAGCAAATTGCTCACATGACGTAATATTATCAATTTGTTACGACATGAACAATGGCTGACGTCAAAGTGTATGTTTTAACAATTGAGCACTGTGGCTTCATCAACTGACCAATCAACATTGAGAATCACTAAAATGTATTTGTAATTATATCAGAAAGATTTGTCACACGATATCTCAACATTTAAGTGTAATGTCCTCCTCTCTTGCGTCTTGATACTCCAACACTGCATCGATGTAGTCCACAGCCAGTTTCCCTGCCCAGGATTCAAGCTTGTAGTTCTCTATGAATCCACAGTGACCACCTTTCTCTGTCGTCACCAACATCCAGTTAGGCCGCTGGTACTCATGCCCTCGATTTCTGATAGATCGAATCCCGATCCAATGAATACAGAGGGGCCGATGTACGACCTCCCAGCGTACTCACCCAAATACCTACTCAGTACAGCCGTTCCTGCGGAGTAAGCAACGCCAGCCATTGCGGCCTTAGGGAACTTCCGGTGAATATGCTCCACACAGTATCGAAAGTCACTTGTTTCCCCAAAGCACTGGAGACGCGGTGTTGTGAGTAAGGAACCACAATGACCGCGTCTGTTAAACACTACAACTCTGAATCTCCCGGCCGCCATCTTGCACACTTTGTTAATACCCTCCTTCCCTCCCCCCACCCCCGGAATTACGACCAACACGGGACTTGTGTCCGTCAGACACGCCTCGTTGTCCAACCAGTCTAGAGAGGCGAGACCACCGTCCGGTAAATGTACGTTTTCTCGCTTGTAGTTCAGAGGCGAGAACTCCAGGCAACAGATAATTGTATGTAAATGTCTATTGCCGAGTCCCAACGGCGGGGTGTAAGGTTCTTTCAGCCGTGGTACTTTATTTATAATGTACTCGTGGAGTTTGGAATCACCATAGAACAGCTTCGGTGTAGACTTCCTTCGTCGGAACCAACTGTGATAGATGTAGATGGCAAGACAACCGACGCAAATAACCACAAATATCATCTCGACCCTTGCGAGAGAAACAGACCCGATGTGGAATATATATTGCCGACTGTTGAATATATATAGTAACGCTTCAGCGGCGTCGGCGTCAATACTAATTTAAAAGTAATTGTTGACGCTTCCCATTGCTGATATAGTAACGCTTCAGTGGCGTCGGTGTCAATACTAATTTAATGGTAATTGATGACGCTTCCCATTGCTTATATAGTAACGCTTCAGTGGCGTCGGTGTCAATACTAATTTAATGGTAAATGATGACGCTTCCCATTGCTTATATAGTAACGCTTCAGTGGCGTCGGTGTCAATACTAATTTAATGGTAATTGATGACGCTTCCCATTGCTTATATAGTAACGCTTCAGTGGCGTCGGTTTCAATACTAATTTAATGGTAATTGATGACGCTTCCCATTGCTTATATAGTAACGCTTCAGTGGCGTCGGTGTCAATACTAATTTAATGGTAATTGATGACGCTTCCCATTGCTTATATAGTAACGCTTCAGTGGCGTCGGTTTCAATACTAATTTAATGGTAATTGATGACGCTTCCCATTGCTTATATAGTAACGCTTCAGCGGCGTCGGTGTCAATACTAATTAAATGGTAATTGATAAGTCTCCACTATGAAAAACAGATGGAGAAAGGTGGGCTTGGTGTTAATTGATATGTACCTGTGAAGACAATGTTAACTTGAGCAATTGTTGCACGCCTGCGCAAAGTCATTGTATTGTGCGGATCCAATTTCAGTAACAATTTGCCAGTTACTTTGTAATTAACTGTAAATTATGACAGTTAAAGAAAAATGTAATTTGAACCTCGATTTTATGCTGGTTGCAAAAGTCCTGGGGTCCGTTCAACACAACAATCGTAGCTCTAACGTGATCATAACTCCCATTTTTAACAAAGAATTACGACCATGTACATGTCAATCGATAGATTCCACTTAAAGCAAATGATATTAAACATTGCCAATTACACATCTGATGAATGATGGAAAAGTATTTATTTCGAGTATAGTAATGACATTCCGTATCAACTCTCAAACTGAACCTGTTTCGAGAAATGAATGCTAACCAGATGTTTCAGCGGGGTTTTTTTTACGTAACATTTCGCCACATCTGTCGTCCAAAATGAAGGAACTATTTCGGTTTTAGCAATGTGGCCCAAATATTAAAGTTTTTGATACTGATTAGATGCGGCTGGAGTTTGATGCTCTGCACAAATATAGATTTGATTTATTTCTATTAATAATGATCTGTATATGGGTGAGTGGGTGAGTGAGTGTGTTATTTACAATCGTATTTTGGCAACATCATGACTTGTTGGCTTCATGAGAAATCATACAACGGAGATGGGTCCCAGTCGTTTACCAGTCGCTGCGCATGGATCTGGGGCAGAGTTGTGGTTTTTGAGACCGCTTGCTGCTCTGTCTGGGAAACTTATTTGCCCCATTGGAAAACCTGGCTAGAATAGATCCCCAGAAACATATAGGTAGCTATGCTGATCGAAAGACGCGACATAATGGATTAGGTAGCCACACCTGGTTTGTGCACGTCATCATACGCCGACAGTGTCGATCGTTACTTAATAATATTGATCGCAAGATTGTCTGGTCCAGGCTCGAGTATTCAGAGGCCGCGGCCATAGAGTTTAGTATTGCTTAGTGGGGCCTAAACAACAAGCAAAAGACAAACGACGTCACTTTGCTTTGATTAACGTACCAAGGTCATGAACTGACCGTAGTGGACAATGCATAAGTCTTATTGAAGATAGGACCTTTATTGAGCGGACACTGGAAGACATGGACCAAAGAGTTGGACCGTGTGTCCCGAACTCCGTGAATTGACTGCCCCCTGCGACTCCCACCGCGTCAGCTATACAAATACAAGAACAAGTAACAGTCAATGTGTAAAATGACTGAAATTTGCACTTAAGTGTCTTTTTACAATTATTGTTCTATTTCTTATACTATGGTAACGAACAAAAAACGTTCTTATTCTCTAATTCATCACCCTGTCGCTGAAAATGATAGGATTAAAAGAAATTAAACGAAAGTAATGTATATTTTTGAATTTTTTACTTCAACCTGAGCGTTGGGCGGTCGGGTAGCTTTGTGGTTAAAGCGTTCGCTCGTCACACCGAAGACCCGGGTTCGGTTCCCGACATGGGTACAAAGTGTGAAGCCCATTTCTGGTGTTCCCCGCCGTGATATTGCTGGAAAATTACTAAAAGCGGTGTAAGACCATACTAACTCACTCAGTCTAGGCGTACGTAATGAGTCCATTGTGATATTCATAAGCCAACATGCAAAGAAACATACAAAGTAGATATCATAAACCTAAAATAATTAACAATACAAGTATTCATACACACGGCACCAGGAGAGGAGCTGTATATACGCATTGTACACTCGAACAAAAATAGTTTCAGTTTAGTTTGACACAGTTTCAAGCAAAGACGAAAGCGTGATTGATATTATGAGCAATGTCCAGTGCCATCTTCGGATGATGTTTTGTTTGTTGTTTTACGCCGCACTCAGCAATATCTAGCTATAAGACTGCAGTCCGTAAATAATCGAGTCTGAAACAGACAATCCGGTGATTGACATCATGAGCATGGATCCAATCAATTGGGATACGATGACGTGCATCAATTCAAGTCAGCGAGCCTGACCACCCCACTCAGACTAAGTATACCGACTCCGAGCCGACCAGTCCTTGTTTTAGCCCCTTAATGCCGAGCGCCAAACAGGGTAACAACAAGTACCATATTTAACGTCTTTTGGCATGACGCGGCGGAGGATCGATCCCGGAACTTCCGCTCTACCCCTAGAGGTAGGTACACGTAGGTGGTCTACATTAAACTATATAAAATGTTGAGGTGAGTAATGTCAAATATGCTTTCGCTGAATATTGAGACATTCTGCGTGCTTCCACGGGGGAAATTTGCGAAATGAGTGGGTGTGTGGTTAGAAATAGGAGAATTTGTATTTGAGTCGAAAATGAAAGTAGATAATTGTTCTTGTATCAATTTTACGCTTCCCACTTCATTGGAAAATATACGTGGTCCGTACACAAGTACCTAAATACACACATCCTAATACTATCAGGGCAATGTGTGTGACGGCATGAAAATATATACAGTATGGAAGTGAATATTGACAAGTGTGATTGAGACATTCTGCGTGCTTACACGTGAGAAATTAATGAAATAAGTGATTAAATGGTTAAAAATAAGGAAAAGAATATATTGATGTCAACTACTTTATTATGAGGAACACAACGTTGAGGAGTATATACTTACTCCTTCGTCAGGTTTTCCTCACAATACAGAAGTTGACATTTATAAATTCTCTTCCTCATGGGTATCACTTTTAAATGCCTTTCAAAGGCTTGGGTAGAAATAGACTATATATTTGAGTGTAAAACCTAAAGAGATGATGCAAACTTGACTTTATCGGTATTAATTATAATTACCATTTCAAAGTAATATTTTTTACTAAAATTCACTTTAACGAGGCAATGAAACATTAATCTATCATCATTCAACCCTGTACAAATATTAATTATCCACAGGAAAGTAACCTTCCTACTTCACATGTATGTACATCATTTGCTTGATAATGGTGTAAGTAGCTTCACCGAAACGTCGCAGTCATAGAAATATCCCTACAACTATCTCTCATGTTCATCATACCATTAGAGGGGCGGTCGGGTAGCCTAGTGGTTAAAGCGTTGGCTCGTCACGCCGAAGACCCGGGTTCGATTCCCGACATGGGTACAATGTGTGAAGCCCATTTCTGGTGTCCCCCGCCGTGATATTGCTGTAATATTGCTAAAACCGGCGTAAAACCATACTCACTCACTCACTCATACCATTAGTTAACCTCTTTGGTTGTAATCATACTACAGCGAACTTTTGTATAAATAAACGCGACAACACCCTTTATTTACAGGATTTCTCTGTCTAAACTGTCAATAGTACGATTCCGACTATATGGTGAGCATGTGTTTATGAATCCCTATCAAATAGTGATGATACCAGGTGCTGCGAAAACATGTGCAATCTTCTATGTGAAATACAGATGTGCGATCTTCTTGGCTTGGTGGTGTTGGGAACTTGGGGTCTGCAGTAATATTATCCACGATATTCTTCAATGTGCACGTTAAGGGCGTTTATGAAACCCTATGCGAAATCAGAAGAACATTATGTATGTGGGAGTCAAACTATGCATATTATGCTATCTAAGTTAAACTATTGCACGATATATTGTTATCCCCGTTCTTCATCCAGATTTCCTTTATTAACATTCACACTGGTTCTTCCTGTCCAAAAACCTTACTTTATGGGCGCCAAATATGGTCGAAGAGCAAAGGTCCGGTCATCATATTTTTAACAAAAAGGACTCGGATTGGCCACAATTTTTTTCATCATGGCTGCAATGTCGGCCATATTGAAAATTAGATTCGAAATAAATTCAGATGACATGATTGGTGGGAAAAGGCATGTAAAGCTTGGGATTACTTGGAATGACTTGTTTCTAAACATTCGTCCACACATCCGGTGCCCTTGTCAGTGTTAGTGTTGTTGGTCTTCAATGGTCTTCGTCTTCCCATATGTTATAAATTATGCCATATTTTAGATATTACTGCCTTACGTATCTTGTGGGAACTTTAAAGATATGTTTCCTTCACACATCTTCTTAAGTTGGTTCAACTTTTAAAATGACTCCTAAAGCTTTAGACTGGATTTGAATGCTCCATACAAAAGAATAATTCCATACAAAAAGATATGTTACTGGGTCCAGCAAATGTACCACCAAATCCTGGTCTCAAAGATAAACCATAATCCTTAATACAATCAAGGAAAGGCTTCCTGCATTTTCAAATAAAGTATTTGAGACAAGTGGAATTAGTACCAAAACCTCCAAAGAAAAGCTTGACTTTCTAAAAAAAGAACCAACTTCAGTTCTGTCAAAACATTTGATTTTTCAACTTTGTA